AGGTCTGCCAGATATGTTTTTCTCAACTTGGCCATACGATACAGGAAAATTCGCAGCACAGCACATCTCGAGCGTTTCTTCGCTGATTGTTGATCGTTCGGGCTGTATTTAGCATTCTTGCCACGCACACACACCCACAAAAACACACACATCGAGCCAGGCACATGGCACACATCACATGGCACGCACGCTACCGCCTTTCCAGGCGGCGGATTTCTCTCTCGTGTCTCCTCTCGCTTCTTTGAATTTAGCGCTCTTTAACATGCTGTCTCATGTGGCCCCATTAACGTCTTACTTCCTTAACTATTTCCGCGGCTCCACTACTAACTGTGGTACTGTCGGATTCACGCTTACTAAGATCTTCATTCCTACCGTCATCTTTTTCATGAACATCCGCCCCCCTCTCCTCTTCGTGAAACAGATTTCTAAAGTCATCTGATCACCTTAACCTCTAATCAGAATTACGGGAAGCTTAATCCATGGGATTAGTGATCTAATTAGTAATCTTAAAGTTTAATCACGCTTCGTGGAAAGCCGGCCCTGTTATTCAGCTTAAATTTCATTAATTATTGTTTACCCTTAATTTGCCACCTTACCCAACTAATAATAATTTTGCATCTGCACTGTCGCCTAATATACTCGTATATCTCATAAGCGCTTAACTGCATGTACAAATATCCTTCATTTGACGTAATTATTATTATTATCCACATGTAATATGGGGCGATTCCTCATTAACCTAGTTGCAATAGCTTCCGCCATATGAGCATCTCTATCATCCATGAATGGCCTTGCAGGTACAGTCTGCGTCCGCCAAGTGCTGATCAGCGATGCAACTAGTACAATTAAACAACGAAAGAGCTGGCAGTACAACAGCCCTATAACATTTCTGACATGCTCTCGCGCAAGACCCCAGGCGTTCCCACCAACAAGTGGGCCCAGCCTTTCATTGACACGATGAGATCGATTACGTGATATGATCGTGAAGAGGATCTTACAAAATTGCAAAGGAGCATCACCTGGAGAAGCAACGGAGGTGCGAATTCTAGTTGTAGGTGGGAATTTCAACTTGCTCTTCGAATTTCGTATACGAAATACCTGCAGCGAGCTAATAGATGCCAATCGCGAGTAGAATGAGTAGTATCGGGAGTCTTTCTGGCAGCTCACACTACAGTCGCCTGATTTTGTTAAAGAGAAAAGGTCCCGCCGACGGAAAGCCTCCGTTTTACGCATATCTTTGTCAGAAGTAATAACTACAAATATAGCCATAACATAAAATAATAATCAATAAATAATAATAGCTTAACCAATCTTAACTATACCTAAAAATTAAAGTAATCGAAATTCAGTCGAATTTCCGGGCGTTAACTTTGGAAATTGATCTCCGGGGAAATATTATAAATGGGGTGTTATTCCAGAAGAAGCTCGTAGATATCTTTATATAAATAACCTCTTTAATTCATAAATTAAAACGATTTTTATACAATTCGAGATTATAGTTAAGATATTATTCATTATTATTATTATTTTTATTATATTATTATTACTCTGAAATGGGGGCGACTCTTTAACAAAAATCAGGCGATGTAGGAAGGAGATACTAACTCATTCTACTCGCATGCATCTTAGTCGCTGCAATCGAAACATCGGCCCAAGTTGATCCATCTAATCTTGTGTGACTCATCAATCCACGTACAAATCCGATTCATCGGGGATGCAGGCATGTTAGTGTTGACTGGCGTTGTTGTGGCAGTGCACGCTGATCAGCCACTTGCCGACGCAGACTGTCCGGAGCCCATTCATGAAGAGATGCTGGAATGCAGAGGCGCAGAAGAAAGTGAGGGAGCGAGAGAAAGGAGGGATGAGGAAGAGAGGGGGGAGATGAGAGAGGGGAAAACAGTAGGGGTATGGGGAGAAGAAGAGAGCATGATGAGACAGAGAGAGAGAGAGAGAGAGAGAGAGAAAACGCGCTGGAAAGCGTACCTGCGTGGCGTGTGTGTGGCATGGTGTTGTGTTGTGTGTGTGTGATGTGTGTGTGTGCGTGGTGTGTGTGTTGTGTGATGTGTGGTGTTGTGTGTGTGTGTGTGTGTGTTGTGTGTGTGTTGTGTGTGTGTGTGTGTATGTATGTTGTGTGTGTGTATGTATTGTGCTGTGTGTGTGTGTGTGCGTGCGTGCGTGCGTACGTGCATGCGTACATTCGTGTGTGTGTGCGTGCGCGTGCGTGCATGCGTGTGTGTTTGTGCGTGTGTTTGTGCGTACGTGGCGGGCGTGCGTGCGTGCGTGCGTGTGTGTGTTCCGTGGCGTGCGTGTGCGTGTGCGCGGCGCCATCTTGCCTGCCTGCGCTCTCTAACGTGCGCGCTGTGTACGATCTTGCAGCGGACGCTCTCATGGTTCATGTCAGCACCGTGCACAACCGCGGTCTCGTCTGCGTGAAAGACCTTTGCTCCAACTTCAAGTAGACTCCGAAGATCTGCCATCGCTCTCCACGTAACCGACAACAGCGAGGGAAGACGATGACGAGAAATGATCTAATTCCTGTAGTGGTTAGGTTCCGGTTATGCATCCAGCGACTATGTCGATATGTCGAGTTGTCTGTTTGTGTATTTGTTCACATGGAAACTTACAATGAAGCTGTAGCGATAGGTCTCATTAGTCATGCTGAAAACAGCACGTTGTTGCGATCGCGTTGTTTATTTCTATCGTATTCTGACGCTGCAGACGTGGAACCAAGTCCATCGATGCTGCTGTCCCTAAATCAGTTTACGCTTAGAATCAATTCGCACCGGTTTAGTTGCAACTAGGCAGCAATAGCTGCGCGAACTCCTCATGTAAACATTTATTACCCCGTACAGACTGCAAAATGTGATCCCACATCAAATTAATCGCACCAAGCGCGGCGGCCAAATCCGTAGCGTACAAACACAAAATTAGATGCACATCAAATTAAGAAGGGTTGACTAGCTGTGCATGGTCAGCTCAGCTCGTTACGTCACCCCGCAGACAGCTATCTGTTACGTTCATGGTGACTAAATAATGGCTATCGCATGCGTATTGAGAAATATTACTCGCACCTGGCCCCCACATTGCGTTATGCACACACCCCACTACAACACACACACACCCACACACACACAACACACAACACACCACACCCACACACCTCACACACCAGCGGGCTAACTTGGTACTGGCCAAGTTATCCCGGGCTTGGCCCTCCTTCATTAGCGAGGCCAAAGTGGTGCGGGACAGCACGTGTTTGGAGCGGGATAGCGTATACGCACTGCACAAATTTGACGCGCCTGGCCCGGACATGTTTGATATGCTATCAAATTTGCAGTCTGTACGTGGTAGTTGAAGATTCTTTCGGGAAGTTCTGCGAGGTGATGGCTGCATTTAGCTGTGCGACTTTTATACGATTAACCCACCGCGAAGAAATGTTGTTAGACTGTAACTGATTGTTGACGCGTAAGTAACAAATAAATCACTCAATAAACAAGTAACAAGAAATTCTATGACACTCTCGACTTTTCACTTCAAGTTATGTTTACTTTCAACGAGATGGTATTTCCTATAGGAAATACTAGGCATGCGAACTACTAGGGATGCGGGGAATAGAGAGGTTAAGATGAGGGCTTTGTCCTATTGTTTATGAAAAACAAGAGGTCCATATTGATTATATCACACTAGGCCTGAGTATGACCTCTCTTTTTTAAATGTATCTTTACACATTTTGATTTCTTTTATCAGACAATAGGCATACGCACAGACACATTTGCCCCTATAATCTATTGCACGTTTTAAAGGGGGTTGAAAGATTTGCGCTTCTTAATTAATAAAGTGGGCCATTGGGATCGACATTATTAATACCAAACTACTACTGAGTATGTACACTGTACAAGTGTATAACTGCAATAAAATTATATTTGTAATATATGTAAAGGAACAGGTCACCGTCTGATTGTCCAGACACGGTAAGGGCCGGGCACTCTCTCATAACGGCCGTGCACTCTCTCATGACGGTCGCACCCTCTCTCATAGCGGCCGTGCTCTCTCTCATAGCGGTCGTACCCTCTCTCATAGCGGCCGTGGGCAATAGCATGAGAGGCGGGTACCGACTGAGAGTCTCATGGTCCGCGTTACAATGGGAATATTAGCTACTCCAACATCAATGCGAATGTAGTTTACTGAGGTTAAATCCAAGTTATTGAATTAATCTTTTTTTAGTCAATATACTCAACGTTCACCTTTAGCATGCTGATCGTTCGCGATTATGGTTTTGTACAAATGAGACCGAAAAATCGATACACCGAATGATTGCGAAAATGCAGCAGAGCAAGACAGAACTCAGGCATGGAACAAATACGCGCGACTCGCCGCGCTGCACAGCGAGCCTTGGGAGCAGGGAGACATAAACGATAGAATAGGACCTGCACATGATATCTCACACATAAGCCCGATATGCACCTGTCCAACTCATTAGCGCACGCCACGCCGCTCACGAATGCAGAAACGCCGCTACACGTGGCCACGCATCACATACATCACATCGCGGCGCACACCACACTCATCATAAACACCACGCACCCACACACCGCACCGCAAACACAATCATGGTGCGCGCTCGGACGGCATCGCCCGACGCACGCGACGTACGGTACGTCGGCATGACGAAAAAAAAGGGGTGCAGAGAGAGAGAGAGCCAAGGTATCTGAATGAAAATCAGATCCCCTAACCTCAAGTCATCAAACCCGCAAACAAAAAAACCACAGATAACATCACCTACAGTAGGTTCCCT